GGAAAAAAAAAAAAAAAGAAGAAATTAAATAAAATGTTCATGGAATTCAAGTCCTTCAAGCGGGAACTGAATGGAAATCTCGCTCCTTTTGTTACTCAGCACCGTCCCAGACATACAAATATCAGTAACCAAAAGGCTCAAACTTTTTGAGGTTGCTTTTGAGGTCGACACAGAGGGCAAAGCCCCCCTCGCAACGTTCCTCCTCCACACCCAGACCCTTCACCAGCAGAGGGGATTTCGAAAGAGGTTCACAACAAGGGATTTCCAGAGAAATACTGCAGGCGGTCTCTGCTTAATTTTTTTTCTTTCATTCTTCTGTTCTGAAACCAAATTTTAACCTGTCGGTCGGTAAGATTTAACATCCTAGACAACTGGAGCCTTTTTTCTTTGTTTATATAGACATTGAAGAAAAATTCTCTCTCTAGCTCTCTGATCTGGAATTTCGAATAGGGGCATCTCTTCTTCCTCGTTCTGGGAGCACCTTAAAAGAACCAGAAGGCAGGGTAAATATTCTAAGGAAAGAAGACACAGACTCATCCTCACAGCTGACCAGATAAGAGACGAGCAGCTTAATAACTTGTACCAGTTATTAATGGGGGGGTGTGTGATGGACAGGGGGGGGGGGAGAACCTCTTGGCCTATTGTTAGGCGGTTAGGCGGAGCAGAGGTGAGGTTACACAGGGTCTTAAGGACCGTGGTGTAATTATTTTCCCGCGGTGTGATTCTTTTCCCGCGGTGTGATTATTAACGCAGATATTTTGGGTGCGGATGGGTGATTTTTTTTCCCCCCCCTTATTTTTTTTTTCAATAAAGAGCAGCCTGGAGGCTGCTGGAGGAGGGTTGAGAGAGGCTGGGAAAAAAAATAACCCCCCAACCACCCACCCCACGCTCAGCTGCAAATCTGTTATCTGTAGAGAAACAGCATGAGCAAGGTTGGAATTAGAGGAACTAGATATTACGTTCCGCATAAGTTTTTGATTAACTCCAGTCCTCGCCACACACGCAAAAAGGAATCAAAGTCAAAGGGAACTTCAGCATCTGAGCTGCAAAAGGGGACTCGCATCACGAAAGCAAAGAGGGAAACAAAACCAACCCTCCCCTCTTCCCCAAAAGAGCCCCACGCTGAAGGCGAACTTCTAAAGTCGCCTGGATTCAGCCTTTAAAAAAGCTCCTCTAAGACTGCCTGGAAAACGGGAGCGCATGGAAAAAAAAAAAGACCCCCCCCAAACCCCAAAAGGACCCGAGCGAACAACCAAGTAAGTAAAAAGCCCTTCCTGACAAAAGCTGGAGGTTGCTGCAGGTTTCGGGGGGAGAAAAAAATACCACTTTAAACAGAAAAATAAAAAAGAAAGTCGAAGAAAACGCTCAGCCTCGCCTGCGAATTCGGCAGCTTTCCCCCTCAGCACCGCACCCCCCCAAGAGAAAAAGCTCGACATGCAGTTTTAATTAAAAAAATGGACCAAAAAAAAAAAGCCTCCCCCAAACATTTCACATGCATCTTAACGCCTACAAGAAAGCCCAGGCAGCTCAAGTAGTGTTCTGCCCAATTGCCTTTTACCCTCAGCAACCCGGGACCGAAAATCCTTTTAAAATGCTCATGTAAGTTCATGATCAAAGTTAATATTTGTCACGATGGTCGTGCTTTTAAAATTTCACAGACTCTAAGATACTGTGTCTGCGCCTAACATCTCCATTTTTTTTTTTTTTCCCCCTTTCAAAGAGCTTTTCCCATCGTAAAAATTCTTCTCGTTGGAAAGAAAGAGCTTTGTAGGTTATAATAAAATCCTTTGAATGCTTATAAAACTCCACATAAAATTTGACCGACAAAACACACGGGCTAGTCCCTTAACCTTTCCATTTACTGCTCTACCTACTCGAATTGCTGCTGCTTTTGCTTCCTTCCTTGGTGACAGAAGAAGACGAGGCTGAAGAGCCGGGGTTTGTGTTTTCCTCTTCATCTTCCGGGTCTATCCCTGGCTCTCCGCGGGATGACAGGGCGTGGGGTTGGGATTCTGCCTCCACTTTGCCCTCGCCCTTCTGCAGGCAGGTCTCGCTCGGATTTTCCCCCCCGCAATAGGCGTTTTCGAAGAAGCGGTCGAAGCCTTGGGGCAGGACAGTGTTTTTGTTCATGCTGGTGTAGAATCCCGTCGACGGCGGGTGGTTGGAGCTGGGGTGGTGGTGGTGGCTGTACACGCTCTCGTTTTTCATTAGCATTTCGGTCATGGTGGAAGGCGGGATGCACTCTCTATGCATCAGATCTTCTGCGGAATAACACGAGGCGTAATTGCTTCGGTGGTGCCATTTACTGGAGGGGTCTAGACCATAGGAGACCTCTCGCACGGGTTGCACTTGCGAGAGGTTGGTGGAGTAAGGGTAGGAGATTTGGCGAGAGGGGGCCTGTGGCAAGAAAGATGACACGGTGGAAAATTCGGGGACGTAATAGGTACAGCTGGGGAGGTAGAGATTGGAAGCGCAACCTGCCCTCTCTCCAAACTCAGCGCTCCTCTCCTTACGCGACTGGGAGCAGAAGTTGCCCAGGTTCACCGAGTTAAACATCTTTCTCCTTTTTTTCTCGCTCCTATAGCTAAGATGTTTTGGATCCGACGTGCGGAGGGGAAAAAATTTGGGAAGGCGAGATGACGCGCTATCCGTCTTAGTCGCTCCGGAGGACACGTGATCCAAAGTAGATATTGTCATATATCAGTTTGGAGCACTTAGATGCGTAGGAGTGGTTCACTTAGGTAAGATCTCAGAGGTTCAAACGATTGGTTTGCAAACACCGCAGAAACATTATGAAAATCAATCGCAGATTTGGGGTTTTTTTTTTTTTCCTTTCCTCAGGGCACACCCCTCGTCAGCATCCACAGCAGAACAAGTACAAGGGGCGGCTTGTGAAGTTGCTGCTGGGGGTTTTTTTTCCCCCCCTCCTCTCTCTCTCTCTCTCTTTTCCTTGCCTTCTTTTTTTTTTCCCCTCCTCTCTTTCCTATTTGGATTCCGCTCGCTGCTTTTCAGCAGGGTTTGGATGATGGGGTGGGGGCGATTTGGGCTGGGGAAGGG